GAAATTGATCCTCTCATCGTCTAAGTAATTCTATGAATGATAAATACATTAAGTGAAGGGTCCCTAAATTAAGTGTTAATTGAATTAAGATTTTTTCATATAACAAATATTTTTTAATTATTGATTAGACAACACTCACGATGTGAGCGCGTATGCCTCACACCGTGAGTCCAGAAGGATTTACGCACCCGGCTCTTTTAGCCCAATAAGTATATAAGCCCACTATTACTTAATTGAATGGCCAACTGATTAGCTCACAATTACTCACAACGTGAGTCATATAAACTCACGATGTGGACTTTGAAAACACGGGACCACAGATTAAAGAACAAAAACCACTTTGACCTAAATCACTTCTTTATTCCTCACTAAGTGAATCCGCTTCCTTGGTCCCCCTTCATCCCGAATTCAGCCGAATCCAACACGTAATACCTTTTTGCTCACGTAAACAACGATTTATGGTATATAAATACTTTCTACTTCTAGTGATTAATTTTGCCTTATTTTTTGAAATAAAGGGCTAGGGTTTATATTAGTTTAGATGTCGAATTTTTTCCTTAAAAATGTGATATATCCACTGCATGTTGCTAGATTGTGCTTAGAATCAACATAGGAATAAACCCCACCAATAATTTTGGCCCGATTTATAAGCTGCCGTGAGCGATTATTCTGTATTGGACAAACTCACGACGTGAATCCTGGGCACCATTAGAACTACTTCTATTTTATAACCTAATATATTGGATATTTATTTGGTTTTTGTTGTTTATCTGTTTTTACAGGAAAATGGCACCGAGACGTGAAGTTCCAGCCGCGGTTTCTAACTTGCACCCATTTTATGTGTTACCAACAACTATATCAAGGGATGTTTTTGCTCACTATAACAACCGATTAGGGTGGTTGCACAATCGAGAGCTCTCGGTCGCGCCGACAGTGAATTGGCAAAGATTAAGAGAAGTTGGTCTCGTTGATAAGCTTAACCTATTTCTTACAAAACTATTTGTGGGACACGGGTATTCTTTTACGTGCAAGGGGTGGAACAATCTATTCGCCGTCCAAGAATGAGTGTACAAGGAACTGTGCGTTGAGTTTTTCTCCATCGTGGCATTTCACGAAAACGTCCAAGATCGTACTTTTCCATAAGCTTTGGTTTTCCGTTTAGGCGGGGAATATCGGGAATGCAGCTTAGTGAAGTTTTCATAGCGGATGGTTCTATATGAGGCCCACGAGGCCATGTCTCCTGAGTTTAATATGTTGTTACGTGAGCCTACCTGTGAATATGAGGGAGGAGCATCGGGACTTGAGTTTTGGAGCAATATCATGTCAAGAGTATTCAATTCCGGTGTGTCACCAGAGAGTAGCATTAAGTCACCCATTCACCGTCTTATTCATCTGCTCATCACCTTTTCCATCAACCACATGTGACATGGAGACAAAGTTACAATGCTAAATTTGTTTTTCTTATGGACTATTTTGCAGTCGAGGGTGTGTTGCAATATCCCCTACTTCCTAGCCCGCTATTTAGCGGAACACGCGGTGAGTTCCCAACCTAGGAGCCCAATATGTGGAGGTCAGTTCATCACCCGATTGGCCCGATCTTATGGTTTGATCATTCCCGCCATTACAAGGACACTAACTTGTATGGAGGGAAATGAGTTTACTTTGGATTACCTCGAGACAATGAGCGTGGTGGCCAATTATGGGTCACATTGGGGTATCGTTCACACTAATGGTGAAGAAGTTGAAAACCAACCCGATCAACAACCGCAACCAAGGACTTGGTGAAGGAATGTGAGAGCACGGGGAGAGATAGGGAGAGCTCAACGGTATGAAGGCAGTATACCTACCGACCCATTCCAAAGTCGGGAGGGTACATATTTAGATGACCTTCGTGGGGGTGTCACTTATAATACCCAACTTATCGTGGGTATCTATTATCACATGGGTGTGGTTAGACCACCAACCGTGCCACCTCAATACCCATATATCCCAACATGGGAAGAACTTTGGATGCCAAGGGGAGATGGAGCCGGGACAACTGGAGCACACGATGAAGAAGATGATGATTGATTTTCTTTTTAGTTTATTTGGTTTGTTTTTTGTGTGTTTTGGGATTGTAAGACTCTTAAAGTTATTATGTTATTTTTCTCTTCCTTTGGTATTATTTTCACATTGGCTAGAGGAGTCGTAGAGAAGGAGTGTCGAGATACAAGAGCGTTTATGTTTAGCCGAGAGTGTAGAATCGAGAGTTGAGACCCACAATTTAAAATAAGTTTCAGGTGAGTCGAGAGACAGGAGAGAGTTAGAGAAGAGTCATAAAAAATAACAGAATTATTTTATGTTGGCCAGTTCTCACGTCGTGAATCCTTAATATTTACGTCATTAGTCAAGTTCTCAATGGTTCACAGATTACATGTTTTAGTGATTTCACGTCGTGACATTTAGCTTCACGTCGTGAATCTTGCATTTCCATAAAATTGAAGATCATTGACGCATATTATACCATGGTTCACCACGTATCTTCTTGGAATTATGATGAAGATTTTATGGCTCATTTTCTCTACCATGTAATGTGGCATATGCTTTCCCACATTGTTCTTTACGCTTTAGAGATTTGCATTGCATTTGTTGAAGATTGAAGGCTCAATTCCATATTTTTTTCGGAACATTTACATATCTCGTGTGATCAAGATCCAAGTTCCTATTTAGAAGAGTCTGTGTTCAAGATGCACAATTTTTCCACACATTTGAACTTAGGTTGCTAGTGTTGTATGGGATGATCCGATGAGAACTCAAATGTTTAGTTGAGCCAATATACGTTATAGTGCATTTGTTGCCCCCTTTGTTCTACTGAAATCATGGGATAAAACCACAACCTCGCTTAGTTTGAGGATCGCAATATGTTTACATCGTGTACCAGAAATGTATCCAGTAAAGCTTAAGTAGTCATTGCACTTAGGCTAATGCCTTAACCAATAAATGTTGAAGTTAAGCGCCCTTGCTTAAGCATTTAGGTTTTTAGTGAAAAAAAGTGAGATACATGTAAAAACAAGAGAGAGAAATTACCAAAAAGTTGTTAGAATTTTGGAGCTAACAAAGTATGAAGATCAAAGATCAAAATTATGAAGAAATTCAAAAAAGTTGAAGATACCAAAACTCAAACACAAAAGGTGGTGAAGTCAAAGAAATCAAAGATCAATTATATCAAAGAAGTGAAGAATTCCAAAGAGCTCAATTGTGGTATCAATAGTCGTAATTTCTAGATTAATGTATGCTTGGGTATCTTAACAAAAATACCTTGAGGTTAGAAAGTTTTATGCGGATGGATTCGGAGGGATGCATAAAATGAGTGTTGTTCAAAAGAAGTGGGCGAGTGTTTATAAGGATTGTGAATATTTAGAATTAGGAGGGTCCTTAGGAAAATTTTAGACACAAATGCATGCGTTGCGGTCTTGCATTAATGGCTAAGCATGAATTGGAATGTTCTATGTGATGTTAGTGATAAGAGTTTGAGTTTAAAAATAATTAGATTTGCTTGAGGGCAAGCAAAGAATAAGTGTAGGGTATTTGATATTGCCATATTTATACATGTTTTTAGGCAATATTTACTTACATTTTTATACATATTTTGGTTATTTTCACTGAATAATGATACTTATAACTTTAAATTGTACTTTGCAACCAAATAGAATCATTCTTGAAGAAAAGGGACTAAAAATGACAAAGCTTGGAACTTTGGAGGCTTGGAGAATAAAAGAAAAAGATACCCACGAAATCAGCTTAATTCACGACGTGAGGGTGGAAGATTCACGACGTGAGTGGGAATATTGGAGAAGATAAACTTCGTGTAGAAGACTCCTTGTCAAACACGGATAACCACTGAATTCACGTCGTGAGACATACTTGTTCACGACATGAGTACGGAAATTTTAGAAAATATATATTCTATTGATCATTACGATTTGAGGAGTTTTTTGGCTGGCTTGGAGAGTTCAGAAGTCGATACACTACTAGAAAAACAGCATTTTACGACGTGCAATGCGTGTCGTAAAACACTTAGACGACGCTTAAATGCGTGTCAAGGAAGTCCCTGTCATAACGAGAGACGACACGTTTTTGCGCGTCGTCTGTTTACGACGCGCAGTTACGACACGTAATGCGTATCAAGGAAGGCCCTGTCATAAAGGAAGACGACACGCATTTGCGTGTCGTAATTTTACGACGCACGTTTAGGGCACACATTGCGAATCATTAAAGCCCGTGTCATAAATGAAGATGACACGCATTTGCGTGTCATAAACTTCAACAACCATTTACGATATTCATATACAATGTGCCATTAATACACTCATTTACGCATAATACAAAAATATATAAACTAATATATATCAAAACAATCAATTTCATCCAATAACATCATGTCAAAAAATTGTAATACATCGGTATTAAGGGATATAATTGTACATTGTTATTAGGTGGTTTTCCCTAACTATATAGCCTAATACTACATTTCTATAAAGGGCACCTTCTTGTTTCTGATATCATGTCAAAAAAAATCTTCCATATCATTGGTTTGCCACTGATTCCTTTAATGAATAAACAGATGGAGTGACTCAGCCTTTTTCAGTTGCACATAGCGGTTCCTTACGTGAATCCACTTGGGTTGATCTAGCTGGTTACTAATGGTATCTGTTGATGGTGTCCCAAAAAGATCGGTTATTAATTCCAACTGATGAATAACAAGGTCAACAATAACAGATCTTGAATGTGGGAACACTGTAGCTTTTGCCACTGGCAAGGTACATACATACACTTACTTTTTATTTTAAGAGAATATAATAATAATGATAAAGAGATGTGATGTGTATATCTTACAATCCTGTAATATTCAAAAGACATCTGAATAATATGAAATAGTGTAACTTTCATAAAATAAAATTACAAACATGTACATGATGAAACCAGAAAAACACAAGAATGTATCCTTATAGCCAAAGAACCTAGTGCCACTTCAGCGTTGGTTTTTTCTCAGATTTGTTTTCACTTTCCTTGTCATCTTGTGGCTTTAGATCCTTAAAAAGGCTCATGCACTCCTCTTTCTTATACATAGCAATAAATGGTACCTGATAACAAAGTTGTTACAAGTTACACGGATCCCAAGAAGATTTGGTCCTTTTAAATCAGGGATCGGATTGAACACTTACATCTAATTTCTGGACATGCATAAATTCTAAAACTGCATGATGTCATCCTTAACTATTGTCAGGTCATGCCCTTCTTCAGTTGTTCTATCACCTCCTATACAAAATAATACCACACCCGTTTAAAGTTGATGAAGAATCCAAGTACTCTCCTCTTCTATAATCATTTCATCTGTCGGTGGAGGACCAGTGCATTCCTCAGATATCTACAAAGATAAAAGTTGAACAGCAATTAATACATAATAAATGGTGAAATATATAGTATGTAAATGTGAATATTCTGACCTGGATTCTTTCTGGAATATCTATCTCCCGAATGTACTCACCTTTTTCAGTTTTGTATTTATTGGAAAGAATGGTGGGTTCAAATTCATCTTCAATCCTCCTTTCCTTCCCTTCACCTTTTATAGTTCTTTACACATTAAATAAATAGCAATATCAATTTTTTACATCACACATTGTAATATACCTTCTATCATTTCTTGCAATTGCTTCCTGAGTTGAAGGATGAACAGGGCTATTGCCACTTTCCAAGAGTCTTGTTTGTAGGGTTGATTCAGGAGAAGCATTGTTGGAGACTGTTTCTGTTTGGGTTGCACCTAATGTCCTTCCACGTCCAGGAAACCTACTATTTTCTTTTGCTGACTGGATAATTTTAAAAATAATAAATAAATAAAATTAGGAGATTAAAAATACAGCATTAGTACAACACTCAGATTTGACTGCTTACCTGAGGAGCCACCTCCCTCCTTGGCATCCATGAAGACAAGTTTGCCTACATATTCCCAGAAAGCGTATCACTGGAAATTTTATAAAGATATAAATATCAAAAATCGGATAGAAAACTGAGAATATGATAAATAAGGGGAAAATATAGGGGACAAACTACCTGGATGATGTGTTGCGAGTAGTATGTGCAGGAATGTATCCAGAAGGATCGCCACCTGTGCACATTATATATTTTGGTCTACGAACACAAGTTGACTGCAAAAAAATATATAATTCTAATATGGGATTTTACAAGTTTTCATTTTATTATGAATCAGTGAAGGTAAATACGTACAAGCCAGTGAGAGGATTATATGTCCGAATAGAAAGAACTTCCCATTATTAGAAGGTTGAATAAACCATAAGTGACTGAATTAAGAAATGTGCTTTAGCGTAACTGTTTAATAAATTATTCGAAAGATGAATATGTTCATGAGGTATGAGCCCTGTTCTACTAAATCCTACATATATATCCTCTAATCATGCACTTATTTAGTATTAGAACTAACAATAAGGATATAAACATAACTATATGGACACTTAAAAGTGTTTAGAGAGTTGTACCAATGTTTCAATCATATCTTGCTATATTTTTTTACATGTTATATTTTTTGAACCTGTTATTGTCCGTGCTTGTGAGGAAACCCCTAGGGCCTGCCTTGAATTTTTCTTATTGACCTTACTCCTTCTTGTTGGTTCACCATGTTCATCAACCTCTTCCTCATCAACAATGAAGTCAGCCATTTCATCTTCTTCCTCGCCAATCTCACCATCCTCTTCCTCTTCATGTTGATCCTCTTCAGCAATGTCATCAAGAGGTGGACCTAAAAGTTATGGGCAAAATGCTAATCATGATTATACACGATAATGATTACTAAAATGTGTTTTAAGAAAGTCAAGAAATTACCCTCATCATCCCCGAATAAACTATGCTCGATTTTCTGCTCTGCACTTTGCCCACTCTTTTCACTTCTATTATAATCATCCTCATCATAAAATCCTGATTACCCTTCATTAGCATTAGACATTGCTTTCTTTAGTCTCTTAAACCTTTTACTATCCTGGCAGATTCATATGGAAAGTTTTTAAAAAGTAAATAGAATGAAAGATAATTGCTAAAGAATCATCTGAATGTAGAGCAAGAGACTCGCGGCTTTTGGACGTCGAAATCCAATGATGTTGTTATCTTGAAGAAGCTCATAGTCATCTTCATCAAGAACATAGTTCTTCTTTGATTCCCTTAATATTCATGCAACATAAATTAGAAAGGTAACAATGCATTCACAACAAAAGGTAAGCTTGTCAAATTGATTTTTCACAACAAATGGTAAGCTTGTCAAATTGATTTTACCTTTTCTTTCTTTTCTTCTTCTTTTGCCTCTGATCATCACTATCCACCCTGCCTTCTTCCTCTTCATCCTGTCCATCTTCATTAATATCATCCACTATGAAACTATATTTCTCATACTCATATTCTCCTTCCTCTAATCAAGGTCATAAGCAAAAGCACGTTAGATGATCAATCATAAACTCAAAAACGAAAAAATGAATTGATTAGCATAAGTGTAAAGGATGCAGAAGGTTCAATTGTTCTGGAATTAAGTGGGAAACAAATTTCAGAAACATATAGGACATCAATTGTACTTTTGCTTGTTCATTGGGGAAATTTATCGAACAGGTGGTGTTCATTAAAAAAACCACTCTGTCAACATTAATTCATCCTTCTAACAAATCAAGATTCATCAAAAACATAAAAAAGATAATAATTTAGTAAGATAAAAAGGACCAGGAAAAAGTAAAAATAAATAGGTCGTACGTTCGATATCAACAATTATAAATTGCATTAAACTAACCCTCAATTTCATAGTAAAAATCAAAATTCAAAACAAAAATCATTCAACAGAATATGAAGAACATATATTGAGATCGAGAGAACACACAGAGGAGAACAGGTGAGATGAGTGCAAACTATTGTGCCAAAACTTACTAGGTAATGGAAATTGGAAATTCGCTAACATAACGGAGCCCATCTGGAACAATAGGATGGTTAGAAAATTGATATCGAGATGGAATCAGACAAAAAACAAAAGAAGGGAATAAGAACAAGAATGACCAGTAAGGGAGTACTGAATATTACCTGTGTAGGGTCAAGGAGCAGAACGATGAGAAGAGGCGACATGTATGATGATACGATGAGCACAAAGACCACGATAGAGGCGTAAGAGCCTAAGACGACGACGGTGAGCAAAGCGATGCGATAGAGGCGCGTTCGTGATGGAGAAAAGAAATACGGATTCAGAATAACATACAACTAGGGAAGGAAGGATATGAAATCATAAAAGGCAAGACCTAAGGTTCTGGTGGGTTTGCTAAAATTAAAGGGCCAGATTGACTGAATGAAGGTGAAGTGTGGATTGAGCTTTGATGGTTCAATGGCGGTGATGGTGGCGGTGGCGATGGCTTAGGGTTTACAGAGAGAATGAAGGGAGATACAGAAGAGAGAGGGTAGACATGGGGTTCTTCAAAATTTTAGAATTTCAACGATTTCGTTTTCCCCCTTTAAAAATGTGCGTTTAAGCAATATATATATATATATATATATATATATATATATATATATATATATATATATATATATATATATATATATATATATATATATATATATATATATATATATATATAAAGCAACATTTGAAGAGGACACACATTTAAGATAAGCGCCCTCGGTGTTTGTATTTTTTTTTTCTATTTTGACACTAATTTCAGGGGAAGCACAATGCATGTCCTCTATCCTTCAAATTTTAGAAGAAATGACATTATTTTTAGGGCGCACACTTTTGCATATCGTAAATCACTGCATATCATTGTTTGCGCGTCGTAAAAGGCTATTTTTCTAGTAGTGATATTCAGAAGGAGATAAGGTCTGGAAATTGGTTTGCATACCAAGGAAGAAGGAAAAGTCCATAGTTAATTGTATAGTTTGGTACATTTAACATGATTTTGAATATGACTAGTGCTTGTTTATTTGTTAGAATGTCCAACTAAATCTAATTGCTTCTGTTAGCTAGATGAAGCTGGAACTCATGGTTTTAATATATTAGATTAGACTTTGCTTGTTGGTTATGACTAGTGTTTGATTGATTATACCTAGCATGCTTGATTTCATATTAGATTGCTTTAGATTCTTATTCTGTGTAGCTAATGACCATTAATCTGCATGAATTAGAATACCTGATAATTTAGTTAACATTAAATTGGTAGAGCTAAGATCGAACCAATCTTAGATAAGCAATTGAACTATTGAATTTGGTTGTGCTAGAGAACTCATATTATGACCGTAATTGTGTTTGTCACCTCAATCTTACATAGCTCCAATTCTATTTAATAATTGATTATGTGTTAAATTATGTATGAACATGCATAGATCTACTTGAATTAATTAATATTAGTTAATTTGGAACTGAATTGCTAATACTATTTTAATTGGTAACCAACAGGAATTGTCATAATTTATTTATAAACCACTGAGGAAAGTGGATTCAAACTAACATAAGTGTTTTGTTATTTGATTGAATTTGTGTCAAGAATTAATTTATTCTAAACTTGAAAAATTAGATAAAACCCACTACTTAGCTATAAATTTAGGTTAACTTATTAGTATGTAATTTAACTAGTTAAAAACGTTCCCTGTGATCGACACCCGACTTACTTAAACTATTCTATAATTTGATTAGGTAATTTAACTAGTTAAAAATGTTCCTTGTGATCGACACTCGACTTACTTGAATTATTCTATAATTTGACTAGGTACACTGCCTAGGTGAAATTTAGTTAGTTAAGTTAGTTAGGTTATAAAAATAAAATTTGGTGTAGCTATTTGCACGCATCATAAAGCTTCGATCTTAACGTTCATGCATGGCATATTTTGCTCCAAAATGCCAATACAACTTTAACAAAGGTGTTTAAGCATAATAACTCTTATAAGGCAAAATATGCCATGCATGAACGTTAAGATCGAAGCTTTAATGCCAATACAACTTTAACAAAGGTGTTTAAGCATAATAACTCTTATAAGGCTGAATAAAGCTGGAACCTTTGGACTCTCTGGACCTCACAAGGTCCATATCTGAAGTCTAGACCTCCTAATGGACTCCATGCACTCATTGCCCCAGCAAAAAGGTAGTAAAAACCCTAAATTCCATAATCATGAGATCCAACTAATAAGATGGGAAAGGTGTAGCCTTTATACCTTCCACAGAAGCTCCACGTGTAAGAAATGCTAGATCCCACAGCCTCTCCTCGTTCCTTGCTCGTAGCTCACTCCTTTCCTTCCAACAATTCCACCAAAACACTCAATATTAGCTCAAACAGTCTCTCTTAGCACAATGGCCGATTAGGGTTTCACACAGGGGAGTTAGGCAGCTGGTGAGGCGCATTTGAGGTCATAAGTTCTCTTAAACAACCCCAAACCCCAGGAATTTAGGGTTTCATCACATAGCACCAACTCGGCAAGTCGGCACACTGACTCGCCGAGTCAGTTCATTAACCTACGTGGCCAACTCGACTCTACTCGACGAGTTAAGGCACTAACTCGTCGAGTCACCTAGGAAAAACATATACAAATATTATCCCTTGGAATAAGGGTGTTATAATTCTCCCCCACTTGAATTAGATTTCGCCCTCGAAATCGCTCCATAACAACACATGGATCGACCCCAACAACCCGAGAAGCACCACCAAAAGAATCTCATATCATGCAACAAATTCCTTCCAAAGACACTCGAACCCAAACAGGAACTCTCAACCCTAAAAGAAATGGACCCCTCTGCTGCTGCGATTCTCGTTCTGGCTCTCCAGAACCTGAAAACTCTAGGAGTCCGTCTCCCCATCAAACCGCCCTTGCAAGATATCATCGGGTTACTCGCTCATCGAATAACAAACCTTGATCACACTCTGCCAACCCTGATTCTCTTGTTGCGACTGATGGAAACAAGTCGTTGACCAATAATTGGCTACCGGTCGATCATATTAGATATACGAGTCAATCCGGATCGTACCTTAGAGGGAACGGAAAAGTCACATCTCACCAAGGGCCCACTACCTGGACAACTATCAGAACTACCTAGGAAGGATGAACCTCAAAACTCTTTCCTCGGGCACAAGAAAATGATCATACCCACTTGGAACGATCCTCTGACATCCACAGATATAAGCCCCAACTTCCTCTCAAATACCCTTTTCAATAATGAACACCAGGTTAGCCCCTAACCCAAAAGGTAAACCTCCAAAAGTTTCCCATTGCATACCCAAATACGTCTTACTAGCTTCCTTCTCACCATAACTATCTCGGTCCATTGTGAAACACAAGTCACAAAGTTCGCTTTACCCCACGCGAATACTACAAACCCAACTGAAGTCGTCTCACCTCCGACCTCCGATGTCAACCACTTACTAGTTCTATACGTCTTGCGGTTCTTCCCATACTAACGAAACCGACCCACTCCCGCCTATGACATCAGATGGAGATCAATACCCCTCAAAATGAAACGCATCTTCGGATTCAGAACCCCATCTCGCCTACTCAATACACGAATTGACCCAAACTCAAAGTGAGAGTCTGATTCAATTGTGGAATTGGAACCACTCATTTCCATTCCGATACTCAACCCATTCCCGCGATTCATGAATTTATGAAGCGGCGGGGGAGGCTGTTTCCGCTACCATTTGGTCACATTGACATCCTTACTTATACTTCCCCCCAAAAACACATGATACCCACCTTTATAAGATTTAGATAATCATTATTATTATTATTATTATTATTATTATTATTATTATTATTATTATTATTATTATTATTATTATTATTATTATATATATATATATATAATTGACAAATGACGAGTAGATTTTGTCATTTCATACTTTCATCACATGTGTTGTTTTTTTTTTTACAAAAATAGTCCTTGTGTTTATGTTTTTTTGCATGTTAGTAGATTTTGCCTCTATGTAGAAAATAAATAGACTTGTTTATTTCATACTATACCACAAAGGTTTTGTGTATTGTCACATTTAATCGCTAGAGGTAGGGGTGAGCATTTGGACTAAACCGGACCGGACCGACGCTTGGACCAGACCGGTTATGGAGAATATTGTGGACCATGGACCATACCGGATGAGTCATGTCCGTGTCCGGGTCCGGGTCCAGGTTTTCCGGTTCTTGGACCTGTTTGGACGGGTACAACTTTAATTGCATTGAGTACAAGTCATTAAAATAAGTTTTTAGGTTTGATACGATACAACTTGTAAAAATGATTATGTTTCCATTTCATGCATAACTAATCTACCTTGATGTTATAATATTATAAGTTGCAAAATTAATTTTCCAAATAAAATCAACTAACATATAAATCAAGTTCACCAAGATCCCTTTGATATGATTTATCTATCAAATATACATAAAATTCAGAATTATAGTATAAAATGATAGTTAAAAAGTTGAAATATTTCAGCTTCAATAACTCAACTTTGAAGGATTGTAACTCACTGAATATAATACCAAAATCAACAAAATTATAGTCTAAATTTATCTACAGACTGTAAACTAAATGTTGGAAAAAACCTCAGGTCAATTGGACTTAAAACGAATGAGTTATGGTTGTTTAAAAATTTTCACAGATTGCAAAATTAAAAAAAAATTAAAAAAAAAAAAAAGAACTTGCTGAAAATTTTCAGCTTTTATAGCTCAACTTTGAAAGACTATAACTCATTGAATATAATACCAAAATCAACAAAATTATAGTCTAAATTTATCTACAAACTGTAAATTAAACGTTGGAAAAAATCGCGTGTCAATCCGACCAAAAATAAATGAGTTATGATTGTTTAAAATTTTTCATAGATTACAAAATTTAAAAATGTTGTTGAAAAGCTGAAATTTTTCAGCTTTGATAGCTCAACTTTAAAAGTTTGTAATTCATTGAATACTATACCAAAATCAACAAAACTATAGTCTAAATTCATCTACAAACTGTAAGTTAAACGTTCGAAAAAACTGCGTGTCAATCCGATTTAAATCGGGTCCAACCGGTTCTAAACCCGGTAAAAACCGGACCGGACCGGGATGGATTCCTAGAACCGAGAACGAGCCCGAGGGTCCAAAAAAAGGGTCCGATCACCGATCTGATCCGGTCCACCGGTCCAAATGTTCACCCCTAGTTAGAGGTGTTTTTAAGTGTGGTTTGGATATTACCACATTTAGTCCCTAGAGTTTCTTTTTTACAAAAAAAAAAAAAAAAAAAAAAAAAAAAAAAAAAAAATCCCTGTCTTTAAGTTTTTTGTATGTTGGTATGTTGGCCCTATGTATAAAATAAATTTCAAAACTTATCTTCGTAATTTACAGAAAAGGTCCTCGTGCAATGTACAAAAAAAAGTCCTTATGCAATTTTTTCATAGAAACAGTCAATCTATTTAAAAAATTACAAAAAATAATCCATAACTAATAGAAAATTTACATATTACACCCCCTACAACATATACTCCCGTA